TAGATGCAAAATCCTTAATGACATACTGGCAAACAGAATACAGAAGCTCATCAGGAAGATCATATACCCTGACCAAGTTGGATTTATTCCAGGGATGCGAGGATGGTTCAACATATGTAAATCAATAAATGTAATACACTGTATTAACAGAGTCAAGGACAAAAACCATATGATCATCTCAATAGATGCACAAAAAGCTTTTGACAAAATTCAACACCCATTCATAATAAAAACCGTGCAGAAAATTAGAATAGATGGTCTTTATCTCAACTGGATAAAGGCTATGAAAAACCAATAGCCAACATCATATTAAATGGCAAAAAACTGAAAACATTCACACTAAAATCAGGAACAAGACAAAGATGTCCACTATCACCAGTCCTGTTCAATATAGATCTGGAAACATTAGCCACAGCAATTAGATAAGAGAAAAAAATAATGTTAGAAAAGGAAGAAGTTAAACTCAATATTTTCTTTTCTTTTCTTTTCTTTTCTTTTTTTTTTTTTTTTTGAGACAGGGTCTCACTAGTAGTTGAGACTGACCTGGAACTCACAATGTATCCCAGGTTGGTATAAAAATCACAAGGATCTTCCTGCTTCAGCCTCCCGAATGCTGGGAATATAGGAATGCACCACCATGCCCAGTATTTTATGATGATATGATACTCTAAATAGAAGACCCAAAGAACTCTGCCAAACACTTCTAGACTTAATTGACAGATTCAGTAAAATAGCTGTATACAAGGTAAACTCTCAAAAAATCAATAGCCTTCTTGTAAACAAATAACAGACTCACAAAGAGTGAAATTAGGGAAACAATCCCTTTCGCAATAGCATCCAAAAAAATGAAATATGTAGATATCAATTTAACAAAGGAAGCAAAAGACCTCTACATTGAGAAGTACAACACTGTAAAAAGAGATTGAAGAGGATATAAGAAAATGGAAAGACTCCTCTTGTTCCTCAGTAGGAAGAATCAATATAGTGAAAATGACCATACTTCCAAAATTTCTGTACAGATTCAACAAAAATCCCTATTGAAATCCCAACAATATATTTCACAGAACTAGATAAAACAATGCAAAAATGCATTTGGAATCAGAAGAGACCTAGAATAGAAAAAGCCATTCTAGGCAACAGAAACATGGCAGAGGGTATAACAGTCACCAACTTGAAACTATACTGCAAAGCCACTGTGACAAAAACAGCATGATACTGGCAAAGAAAAAGACCAAAGGATCAGTGGAACAGATTAGAAGATGCAGAAACAATTTCTAACATCTTCAGCTAATTCATTTTTGAGAGAGGAGTCAACTGTCCTCACTGGAGTGAAGATAGCCTCTTTAATAAATGGTTTTGGAAAAACTGAATTTCAGCCAGCCAAAGATTAATACTAGACCCCCATCTTCCACCAAGCACTAAACTAAAATTCAAGTAGATTAAAGATTTAAATATTAAAACAGAAGCTCTAAATTTGCTGGAAGATCAGTTAGGCAGAACTCTCAAAGATATTGACATGGGAAAAGACTTTATGAACAAATCATTAGTAGCATGGGGACTAGCATAAAGAATAAATAACTGGGATCTCATTTTTAAAAAAACTTGTACACAGCCAGAGAAATCACCAGTAGAACTAAGAGATTCCCACAATGTGGGAAAACATTTTTACCAGCTACTCCTCAGACAAAGGTCTAATCCAGAATATATAAAGAACAACAACAACAACAAAAAACAGATCCCCAATATGAAGACTAAATCCAAAGATAGGCATCTGAAATGAACAAATGTTTCACAGACATTGGAGTAAAAGCGGCAAATAAACATTGAAAGGGGCCAGGAATTTAGCTCAGTGGTTCCAATGCCTGCCTGGCAAGCACAAGGTCTCAAATTTGATCCCAGGTACAAAACAACAACAACAACAACAACAACAGCAGCAGCAACAACAACAACAACAACAAAACAATATATAAAAATGTTCAAAATCACAGGTCATTTGATAGATGCATATGAAAACAACACTTAGATTCTATGTCACTCCAGAGAGAATGGCTGCTATCAAGAAATCAATCAAGAGGGATAGGGGAAAGGAAATAAGGGAAAAGAAAAAATATGAGAAAATGAGAAAATGGAAATAAAGTATTTCTAAATAGGGAAGGGAGGAGAGGGTCAAGGGAGGGCAGGGGAAAAATGAGAATGAAGACCTGCCATCATGTAAAGGTACAAGACCCCAATGATGAATGTAACTGTACTGTACACCTAAAATTTACCAATAAATTCAATGAGAGAGAAAAAAAGAAATCAACCAATAACAAATGCTGTTGGGATTGTGGAGAGAAACAAACTCTTCATCGTTGGTGGGAGTGCAGACTGGTGCAATTACTGTGGAAACAATTATGGAGATACCTCAAACAACTAGCATTAAAATTCCCATTTGACTCAGCTATTCCTCTGTTGGATATCTTCCCAAAAGAAATTAAAGAATCATATCACAGTGATATATGTGCACCTATGCTTATAGCGTCACAGTTCATAATAGCTAAAATTTGTTAACAGCCCAATTGCTTTTCCATCAACTGGAAATGGGATAAAGATGTGTGTGTGTGTGTGTGTGTGTGTGTGTGTGTGTGTGTTTATAAAATGGAGTACTAGTCAGCTATAAAGAATGAGAACCTAGAGATATTTTTAGCTAAGTGAATGCACATTGAGGCTATTCTCTTAAGTGAAATTAGTAAGAAACACATGCATAAATACTGAATACTTTCTTTGGTATGAAAAGCTAAAAGTGTAAGGATCAAAATGCATAACTGACCTTGTGTAATAGAAAAAAAGGTGTAAAAGAGTAGGGGAAGAGGCAGGGGTAGGGGGAAGGTAAAAATGGAAAGGAAAAAATATGAGAAAAGGAAAAACATGAAAACAATGTCTCTGTAAACAGGGAAGGGTGGAGGGGGTGAAAGGAGGGCTGGGGAATGGGAAAGAAATGAGAACCATGGTAAGTCATGTAAAGGTACAAGATCCTAATGATGAATGTAACAGTGATGTATACCTAAAATGTACCTACCAATAAATTTAATAAAAATATTAAAATTTGGAAGCACAGAGACGAATTCAACACTGATCCTGTATCTGAATTCTCCATCTTGTGTATGAGGAATTTAGAAATGTTATATTTAATAGCTTAGCAGGGTACTTAGGGAGACATTTTTACTAGTGTTTAAAGGTTAAAAACTTCAGATAAACAATAAGGAAGCCTATTTATAAACTCTACAGATTATCATTAAAGATGTGGGAACAAATAACAAAAACCTCAAAGAATACATTTCCTTTAGGAAATCACAGTGATGGGGAGATGGGAGTTTAATTTTGGCTCTACCATGGGAGAGGTACAATCCCCGAAGAGAAAGAAAACTTGAATAAAATATTGAGTGTCTAGGGGATTCAATACACATCATAGCTTAAGAAAGTAAACACAATCCCCTCATTTCGCTTTTATATCTAGAATCTGTTCTCCAGGAAGAGACTGAGGATGTTTCTACCTTTTTTGTAGAAAAGTGTATTATGTCATTAAACTCATGTTAAATATTGTGATGTTTCATCTAGTGACAATTGTAATAAGAAGGGCTGTTTATTTTTTTCCGAAGCTGATGCTTCAGAGGAGTTACCATTATTTCTATAAATTATGATCACTATTTCAGAAAGACTTCCTGGGAATATGCAAAATTAAATCTGTTGTATCCTCTTCGACTCAAAGGAATCAAAGCCAAAATTCCAAGATTGATCTTTCAGGACCAGGGGGAAGATACAACAAAGGATCACGAAGTTTTCTTTCCTAAGAAGGGTAAGTGTTTAAATCTATTTATATTAATATCCTCTAATAATGCCTTTATTGAAATATCACTAACATGTATAATTTTATATATATATATAAGATACAACTTGATGAACTTACATGCATAAACATTATAAAATGATCTGAATAATGAAAAATGTTAACATGTGATATACACATAGATATATAATGAAAAGAAATTTAAAAATTTTAAATTTTCTTATCAAATTATTAGTATATGATACAGTATTATTAACTATTACTACCATGTTTTACATTAGATCTCCAAATTTTAATTGTTTTACTTTGGCCAATATCACCTGAATTTCTCACTGGCTAATAACAATCAACATCCTGCTCTCTGCCTATATGAATGCCATATTTTATATGTGCACATACACGCAATATCTTACATTATTAATCTTTATGTGTCTTGCTTATTATTTAGCTTGAGGAATTCACATTTTGAGAAGTCCGTGAACCTGATATATGTAATTTTTCACCATTTTCTGCTACCCTAAGACTCAAGTAAGACAAAAGTACATCTTTGAAAGAAAAGTAAATAATATTCATAAGATTAATGGATACAAGGGGTGCAGCATTTTGGTTAGTAAGCATCCTTCTCAAGGACAGATCTCTCACTCTTCTAGACATGTTTTTCTGCATCATGGGACTACAACTGAACCACTGATTCCTAGAGTCTAGTTGTTTTGTTTAGATTAGAAAAGTTTTTATGGTTCAAGCGCAACAAAATCTAATAAGCTTTAAAGCTCAAACTCAAGATGAAAGACTTCTGCCTCCAATTTTTACTAGTGATCGGAGGATGCAAACAAAGGAGGAAAGGATGAGGTGAGAGAGAAAAGCCTTATCTTTTTCCTTTGTTTTTTCAAGGGATCCATGTTTTCACATGGTAGCACTGGCCTTGACTTTATAGGCTAAATTTATGATAGTTTTTTTTTTTTTTTACCATATTTAGCTTTTAAAACTTTAATGAGGGGAAGACAATGCCACTCAGTACCAAGTAACATTAAAGGCAAGTTCTATGGATTCCGGCTGGTTAGGTCCAGACATTTCTGACTTATGCCTCACATTTGTGAGAGAAAATATTGTTGGAAGAGTGGGTGTGGTATGACGCAATCCTTCTTTCCTTTATCCACAGATTCTATAGAGAAGAATGGCTCCTGAAAATGGTTCTTTTGTGAATGAATTTATTCTGATGGGGTTAACAGACCGGCCAGATCTCCAAATACCACTATTCTTCCTGTTTCTAGTAATGTATGTGGTCACTGCGTTAGGAAATTTGGGCTTATTAACTCTAATTGGATTGAATAAACATCTTCACACTCCCATGTACTTTTTCCTCTTTAACTTATCCTTTATTGACCTTAATTACCCTTCTGTATTTACACCCAAGATGCTCATGAGCTTCATATCAAAGAAAAATGTTATCTCCTACAGAGGGTGTATGATTCAGCTCTATTTTTATGGTTTCTTTGTCGTTTCTGAATGCTATGTGCTGACATCAATGGCCTATGATCGCTATGTGGCCATCTGTAATCCACTGTTATATAACACTGTCATGTCCCCTAGAGTGTGTTGCAATCTTATGCTTGGTTCATATATTATGGCATTTTCTAGTGCCACGGCCCACACTGGAGGCATCCTGAGACTGACCTTCTGTGATGCAAACACCATCAACCACTATTTCTGTGACATTCTTCCTGTGATGCAGCTCTCCTGCAGCAGCACCTATGTCAGTGAATTAGAGGTTTACATTGTGGTGGGGATCAACATCATTGTGCCTACTGTTACCATCTTATTGTCTTATTTGTTCATCCTCTCTAATATATTTAAAATAAGCTCCACTGAGGGGAGGTCTAAAGCTTTTAGCACCTGCAGTTCCCATGTAATTGCCGTTTCCGTATTCTTTGGATCAGCTGCATTCATGTATCTTAAGCCATCCTCTGCTTGGTCTATGGATGAGGGAAAAATCTCTTCTGTCTTTTATACTATTGTAGTTCCCCTGATGAACCCTTTAATCTATAGCTTTAGGAATAAAGATGTGAAACTTGCCCTGATACAATCTTTAAGAAAAAGATAGCTTTGATCAGAAACATTATTTCTCGGTGTATGTGCTTGCAGCACAATTAAATTCTGAGTTCACATAAAATGTTTTTGGTCAAAACTTCTATTTCTTTCTCATCTTGGGGGGCAAAATTTGAAACTGATCTTGTTTTCCAAATCTTTTTGTTCGTTTGTTTGTTTGTTTTGAGACAGGGTCTCACTACGTAGTTGACACTGACCTGGAACTCATTATGTAGCCCAGGCTGATCTCGAACTCACAGCAATTCTCCTGCCTCAGCCTCCCAAGTGCTGGGATTACAGGCATGCGCCACCATGCACGGCCTCCAAATCTTTTATTACAGCATGTTTTCTCACTTAAAATTGTACAATGTCTCCTTTCACCATTTTTTCCATTATGGATGAATTAAGTTCAAAAGACTAGGAAAATGTGGTTGACAGAGTAAACTAGAAAATGTAGTAGACAAAATTATAAGACAACCAGTTTGTTTTAGGCCTTTTTATTTCCTTAAAGAGCTATAAGATTCTAAGTGATTGACTTTTCTGAGTTTCATTAGCCCATCCACACAATAAATATACATAGATAATATAGTAAGCATTAGTTACACTTCACAAGGTACAGTAAATATATCTGGCTGAAATGTTTAACATATAGTGTTTACATCTGCAATAGAGTTTGTATTTGATAGACTATGCAAAAAGATCTATATTTATAAAACGCTAGCATATGAAAGAAGCATATTCCTGACCAATGGAAGATAGAATGACTAGACTATAGACAGCCTGTGAGACTCATGCTTATCAACAACTGACAAGTGAAATTGTGTCATCCTCAAACACAATATCAGCCTAGTGTCACTTGATTTTATTATGTACAGGATCATCCATTATTCATGAGGGCAAATCCATATTGACAATAAAGGAAGGAAAGAAGGAAGAAAGGAGAGAGGGAGAGAGGGGAGGAAGGAAGAAAATACACAGGACTACACAGGAATTTTTCTAAAGTTTCTTATGTTAAGTTTTTGTTCATGTGGACAACTTGATGGTACTTTTTGTGTGGCTAGTAGAGATGAGAGATGATTGACACAAATTGGCAACAGAATTTTCTTGATAAGGAGAATTAGAAATTATTTTCAGGGTCTTTTAATTGAGAACATTGTGGTTTGGAATAGAATGAAACAGACAGATCTGTTCCCAAAGAAACACACTGTCAATTAAAGAGATCTCTGAAGAACGACCAATGAAATTTTAAGAGCATTTTAATCTGACTTTGTGTCTTGTTCAGCAGAGTACTCACTATCCTGCACTCATCGTAAAGCTTGGAAACACTTATGAACCAGAAGTTATGTAGGTAAATATTGTTTTAGGTATTAAAATGACCATACTTGTGGGGAACCAGGAAGAAAAAGAACAACAACTTCATAATATTAAATAGTGAATGTAAATTAAAGTTAAAATTAGAAAGAAAGAATTTAAAAATTAAAATAATGGGAGAATGAGGTCTACTCTCTCTTCTTTTTTATAGAAGGCCAAGAAATACGAAAATTATAGGTTTCTCTGGATGTAACAGGGGCTGAGGCCATTGCTTTTTAAAAATATTTTCTTGGTACATTTTAGGTACACAATATAATGACTTTTAGCATTGGAAATTTATACCTTTATGTGCTCCATCTTGATTCTCATATTTTGCCCCTTTCCCCCGCCCTCCCTTTAACCCCTCCTCCACCAGTTCCTATTTACAAAGACTTTGTTTTCATTTTCTCATATTAATTCCATTAGGCCATTTAATTTTAAAGAAAAGTTAACCTGGAGGACAGGAGGACCTAGGAACAACTAAGTCACTCCTGTTTTTATTAATTTTAATATACTATTCCTATTTGGAATTTAAAGAATTAAAACCTGGTATTTCCCTGGGAGAGCAGTGAGAATTAGAAAACTACATTTGCTAAAGGGAACAAACTGTGATAATTTTCAAGAGTAGGGTGACAGATAATTTTTCTTCTCAGGAAAATTTCATGACTCAAAAACTATTTTGAAAATTCCTAATCTGATGCACTAAGTGGCAATTTAGACAATTTCCGAGATAATTGTAATAATATACTATTTTCCTTTCTAAAAAAACTCTCAATTCAGTGTTTGAGTGCTGCAGAATTGAATGTCAGTTGTTCATTGGCTTGTATGTTTTTATGTATGGCTTTGTTAAACTTTTCATGTAAAGCTTGAATTAACCACTCCTTCCCCATCTGATGGTTGCAATATCAACATATTTGGTATTTTTTCACAAGTTCCAGCTCTGTATAATTATTGAACTTGGTAAGAATTGTTTAAATTGCTTTACTGTTCCTTTTGATAAAATTATTTATCTATTAAATAAATTATATTTAAATAATATGATAATATCTGCGTCATTTGGTATCTCTTTAAAAATTGAGTTTATTGGTACATTTTAGGTACACAGTACAGTTACATTCATTATTGGGATCTTGTGCCTTTACATGGCAGGTCTTGGTTCTCATTTTTTTCCCTTGCCCCTGCCCTCCCTTCACTCCCTCCTCCCCTCCCCATTTACAAACACTTTATTTCCATTTTTTCATTTTCTCATATTTTTTCTTTTCCCTTATTACCTTTCCCCTACTCTTCCCACTTTCCCTACACCTTTAGCCCTTTTCTTCCTATTTCATATTGTCAATTACCTCATTAGGATCTTATGTACTATTATAATTTATTCACACCAGAGAAACTATTCAATATTTATAGATGCGACTTATTTATTTCACTTAGGAGTATATCCTCAATATTTATCCATTTTCCTATGAATGAATCTAATTCCTCATTCTTTATGGCTGAGTAGTATTCCTTAGCCCTTTTCTTCCTATTTCATATTGTCAATTACCTCATTAGGATCTTATGTACTATTATAATTTATTCACACCAGAGAAACTATTCAATATTTATAGATGCGACTTATTTATTTCACTTAGGAGTATATCCTCAATATTTATCCATTTTCCTATGAATGAATCTAATTCCTCATTCTTTATGGCTGAGTAGTATTCCATTTTATAGAAAAACCACATCTTCTTTATCCAGTTTCCAACTGATGGGCAAAAGGGCTGTTTCCAAGTTTTAGCTATTACAAACTGTGCCACTATAAACATAGGTGTGCATATAGCACTGGTCTATATCTCAACTTAATAAAGGCTATCTATGAAAAAGCAACAGCCAGCATCGTATTAAATGGCCAAAAACTGAAAACCTTCATGTTAAAATCAGGAACAAGACAAGAATGCCCACTATCACCACTCCTCTTTGATATAGTTCTGGAAACATTAGCCATAGCAATTAGACAAGATAAAGGAATTAAAGCAATAAAGACAGGAAAGGAAGAAGTTAAACATTAGGTATCTTTTGAAGGTATGGCAGAGGTTATGTTTGTACCTTATGTATTTCATTAGCACTTCAACTGACCAAATCTATATTAAACTGGATCACTGATCTTTCATTTGAAGAATCTCAAAAATAAAAGAGTTTCTTTTTTAAAATGACAAATTTCCTTTTAAATTAAATCCCTCATTTATATTTTTTGTAAAATTAACTTCAAAACTTTAAATACTTTGTAAATGTGATACAGGATAAAAAGTCATCAAAAAAATCCCATGGAAATAGAAATTCAGTTTGACCTAGATATCCCTTTTCTATGTATTTTCTCCAGAGATATAATGAAATCATATTAGTCATCAATGCCCACCCATGTTTATGGCAGCATAACTCTTCTTGGCTACATGTTGAAAGTGGCCCATATGTCCATCAACAAATGAGTGAATAAAGAAAATATGGTCTATGTGTGTAGTAGAGTACTATTCAACCATAGAGAAGGGTAAATTTGAGTGATTTATAAAAAAATGGATGCACATTGAGACTATAATGTTAAGCACAATAAATCATACACATGCTTTCTCTTATATGGGAAGCCTAAAGTATAAATTATTTAAAGAGTAAAATTAAAGACAGATAACTAGAAACAGGGAGTTAGATAAAATGGGAAGGAGAGTTAGAGATAGAGGTAGAGGAGAGTGAGGAGAGGGAAAGGGAAAGTAAAAAGCATTAAGATGTGTTATATACTCGTAACAACTCCCTCAATTCATGTTATCATTAGCTACTGCAAATGTATATTAATGAAAAAAATACCGTGGACTTTGGGGCTCAAAGTGGCCTCTTTTTAAAAAATTGATTTTATTGGTACATTTTAGGTAGAGGGTCAAAGGGGCTTCTCGGAGGAAGCTTAGGCTAGGAGGAGGAGGATCCACCCTGAACCCACTAGGAAGAGACAAGGGAGCTCTGCTTCAGGACCCTCCCGCAGCTCAGCCTCTGGATCTCTTCATGTATGCCTTGCAATAAAACTATACTCAGAAAAAAACAAATGCAATCCTTTTAATAGAATAATGATGGCCCATCCTGGTTTAAAATTTCATTTCCCTAATGATGAATGATTTGAAAACCTTTCTCTTTTTAGATTTTATATTTTGCAGCAGTTTCATATTAACAGTAAAATTGATGAGAAGGTGCACACATTTCCCATATAGCCCCTGCCCACACATAAACACAGACTCCTCAGTTATCAACATTTGTCATCAGAGTAACATTTTACAACTCATGACTCATATTGATGTACTACAAGAACCAAAACTCCATAGTGTCCATTGGTGTTCACTCTTGGTATTTTATATTGTGGGTTTGAACAGATGTATGACGTGTATGACCCTTAAATCATATAGATCATTTCATTGCACTCATTATACAAAGTATTTTAATTTTCACCTTTCATTATTTGTCTAGTCTTCATTCTGTTACCATGTAACTCCTGGAAATTACTGCTTTTTTCACGGACTTTAGATTTTTTACCTTTACAGGAGCACCATGCAATCATATTCACGTATCACTTTCAAATGGCCTTTTCTATTTGGGAATATACATTTAATGCTTCTCTGTGTCTTTCCATAGCTTAGTAGCTCTTTTCTTTTTACTGCTGAGTAACATTTCATTGAGTAGGCCACTCTGTATTTATTTACTCTTACTCTGCTGTTTCCAAGTTTTCGTAATTGTGAATAAGGCTATAATACACATCCATGTATGCTCATTTTTGTGGACACAAGTTTTTGACTCCTTTGGATAAATATTGTGGAGTGCGATTACTGAACCATATTATGAGTAGGTTTAGTTTTGTAAGCTCTCAAAGTATCTTCTAAATTGGTTTAGCATTTTAATTTCCCACCAGCAATATACGAGAGTCTATTTTTTCTACATCCTCACTAACATTTGTTATTGTCAGCCTTTTGGAATGTGGCTACTCTAGCAGGGTGGTTTGGTGTTTTACTGTTGTTTGCATTTTGCTGATTGGAGATGTTGTGGAGTGTCTTCAATTATGATTATTTTCTAGCTGTATATATATATCTTCTTTTATATAGTATTTGTTCTTCAATTATATTTGAATTTGTAGTTATTTTTGTGTTATAGATTTCTAGTCTGAGATTGTATAATGTGCCTTCTTTCAAATTTTAGAATGTATTTATGGCCCAGAATATGATTTACCTTGATAAATTCTATGGCACATGTTTTCTGTTATTTGGGGGTTAAGTAGTCTATAGATATGGACCTTCTAGTTCATCATTGATGCTTTGGTTCAACTGTGAACTTCCCATGGAGCTTCCTATTTCTGTAAAGGGGTGTTGAGGTTTCCAATGGCAGTAGTGGATTTATGCTTTGGGTGTTTTTTTTTTTCCCAAACATTCTTTGATATTATGTTGTTAGGAGAAATCACACTAAGGATCTTACATCTTCTTGAAATATTGACCTTGTATTATTATGTAGTGCTCTTCATCAATCATAGCCTTCACTTGCTCTGAATTGAGCCCAGTCTGAAATTAAAATAGCTACTTCTTCCTGCTTTCCTTGGATTAGTGATGGAAAATTATATATATTTTTCCATTCTTAATCCTCTGAAATCACCATCTTATTTTCTGTTTATAGATTTGCTTATCTTGGACAGCTCAAAAAAATGGAGTAATATGATATCTATTCTTTTTTCATGTGGCATAATGTTTTCAAAGTTCATCTATTTAGGAACTTATAAATATGCAATCTCTCTCTCTCTCTCTCTCTCTCTCTCTCTCTCTGTGTGTGTGTGTACCAGGGATCAAAACTTGGGTCTTGCATTTGTAAGGCAGGTGGCAGAACCACTGAGCTAAATCTCTGGCCCTGCATCATTTCTTTTTCTTTGGTTAAATAATAGTCAATTGTTTGGATATATCACATTTTATTTTCCCATTAACCAACTGATGAACATTTGGAAATTATCTATTCTTGGTTATTATAAATGATGATATTATTAACATTCATGTGCAAGATTTTGTGGGAATACATATTTTCATTTTCCTTAAACACATAGGTAGGAGGGGAATTACTGGTTCCAATGGTAATTGTGTTCCTAGTCTTTTGAGAAAATGCATATTGCTTCATAAGTGGTAGAAACCATTAAACATCCTCACCAGTAGTGTATAAGCATTCCAAGTTTTCACACCTTCCCTAACATTTGATGTAAGTTGTCTTCTTTATTAAAACCTTTCCAATGAGTCTGAGGTGGCTTTTGTGGTTGCTTTGTACTTCCTTTATTATCAATTATTTTGAGCATCACTTTCAGTGTGTTTTAGCCCTTTGTATGTCTGCTTGGGAGAAATATGTGTTCCAATACTTTACCTATTTTAAAATGACTCGTCTTTTTGAAATTTTACATATGAAGAAGTTATTAATGAACTTGGGATACTACTCCTCATGATATATGATCTGGAGATATTTCATTCTCTGGTCGTCCTTTCCTTTCCTTGATGATATTGATCAAATCTCAAAAAATTTGATTTTGATCAAATCCAATTTACTTTTTACTTTTTTGTTCTTATAGAATATAGTATCTAAGAAATTATTGTTTATTCCAAGGTCAAATATTTAGTCCCATTTTTTCTCAATAGTTTTATTATGTTATTTCTTACATTTAAATCTATTATTTATTTAGGGTTAATTTTATATTGTAGATTAAGCATTCAAATCATTTTTGCATGTGGAGGTACAGTTGTTCTAGCATTATATGTTGAAAAGACAATCCTTTGTCTAAAAATTATCCTGACATCCATTTTGAAAATAAGTGACCATAATTTGTGAGTTTATTTTTGACTCCCCATTTTATTTCATTTAAAATATATGTTTAATACACACATCTGTCACACTCACTTTATTTCTGTGGACTATTTCTTTTTTTTTTTCCTTTTATGTTATATGCATTCTTTATATCATTATGTCCCATTTCTGTGACTTTACGCTCCCGAGGTCTAAGATCTAAAAGTGAAAATTAGACTAGTGTAAGAATGCTTTCAAGATACTATTATATTATTTATGATCTCCATGTAGAGTGAAAATGTAACAGAAAGAGGAAATGCCTTTAAATATTCTTTGCCTAGGTAGCATGGCTTGAAATAGTTGCTTTCTTTAGCAAAGAGCAAAAGAAAAGATAGCTCATAATAAGTAGAGAGATAGATCTTTTGCAAATAGGAAGAGGACCAAGAGGTGGAGAGATGGGCCAGAGGGACAAGAAGGGGATGAGATGTGTTATGTACAAGAACCAACACTTCAAGAGGAATGAGATCATTACACTCATTATAACTTAAACATTAATTTCCAAATGGCAAAATTTCCATCTTTGATAGGAATCTACTTAGATCACATTACTATATATCTTCCTAGGAATGGTTAACATAAATTTATTAACAGCAGGATAATCAGACACAAATTTCTAGTAGTTTTTCAGAAGTAAACACCTTGCTAGGAAGAACTGAGAGTGGTTGTGTTTGTTTGTAATCTCAGGACTCTGAGAGGCTGAGCTGGGAGGATAATAAATTTGAGCCTACCCTGTGCAACTGAGTGACTTAGCCAGATCCTGTTTCAAAATTTAAAAAATTAATCAATAAAAAGGGCTAGTGTTGTCACTTAATGAGAAGGCTCTAGGTTCAGTCTCCAGTTCCACGAAACAAACAAAAACTTCAGAAGGGAGAAATGGATTTAAAAATTAGATATTCCATAAAAAGCTACTAAATGGAGTTATTGCAATTTTTGCAAAATTTCAGATGAAGAAAATAAGAACCAGAGAGCAAGAATGTGTGGGAAAATTTCCACTTAGAATGGGTAGGAAAGAGAAACAATGCAGTGTATTTCCCACTGGATATATCAAGATGGAGAGAAGGACACTTATTTTTGGCTCTGTGTTGGTGGTTGTACATGCCCCAGGGTAAAGGAAAATGCTTGAATGAATTTGTGAGACCCTTGGGAATTAAAGGCAGATCATAGTCCAAGGTATAAACACAATCTTTTATTTTCCTTTTTACAGGTGGAATCTGTTCTCTAGGGAAGAAACCAAGGAAGCTCTTATTCTGTTTATTACCAAACACATTATGTCACTGATTCCACATTAAATCCTTTGCATCATATTAAGTGGCAAATGTGACAATAATGTAGACTGTTTTTTCTCTGTTATGTAAAAGTACTCCAAGTCATAATCAGAAAACATGATCTACCCTTAACAAAAATTTCCGGGCCAAGGTGAAAATTCTGTCTGCCTTGTCTCCTCTCATTATCCAAGGAACCAAAGCCTAAAAGCCTGAAATTTTCATTTCAGGTCTTTGGTGGACAAGTAACAAGAGTAAGGAAACACCAAACTTTTCTGGTCTATGGAGGGTGAGTTTATAAATTATATTACTGTTAATGTCCTTCTTTGCATTCAGGGACCTACATTAGGATGTTTTGCCCACCCCCCATTTTGGGCAGTCCTGAAACTTCAGTAGTACTAGCAAAGGAATTTGTTCAGAGAGGGAGCAGAAAGTGTTCAGAAACATTTAGGAGTTCTCAGTATTCAGATGCCACCATTGTTCAAGGAAAGAACTCTCCCTGCCTTAGGAGATTTAGAGCTTTAATTTTGTAACAAATTTAGTGACTCACCTTTCCTAGATCTGCTTTTTCTCTTGTGGATTAGAATCAATACTTTGTTTTATATTTTTCCAGAGTCACCTCTTACTATAGAGGTTATACCTCTACTGCTGATTACAGATCAGCACCAAGATGCTAAGGCCCCTGCTTCCCATTTTACTACTGAGAGGGTAGATAGGTGAAGGAAAGGTGTGAGGAAACAAGAGCCAGATCATTCTTTCCTGGAGTCTTTTCTCTGCTATCTCTTGATTTCTGAGTAGTCTCGTTTGGAAATGGCAGCATTAGCCTTTGCTTCCTAGGTGAGCTGATGATATACTTCAATATTGTTAGCTTAGTAAGACTTTAACAAGCGAATATCCATATCAGGTCATGATAAAGACTAATTCTATGGGCTCAGATTAAGTGAGACTTAGACTTTGCCAGTATATACTCCATTCTAGTGGGAAGAGATAGTGCAGGAAAAGCCAGGTTGTCTTTTAATGTGAACTCTTTTTCCATGACCATAGATTCTACTAGGGAAGAATGGCTCTTGAAAATGGTTCTTTTGTGACTGAATTCATTCTGATGGGGTTAATAGACCAGCCAGACCTCCAACCCCTACTCTTCTTCCTGTTTTTATTAATGTATATCACCACTGCAATGGGAAATTTGGGATTGGTAACTCTAATTGGGCTGAATTCACACCTTCACACTCCCATGTACTTTTTTCTCTTCAACTTGTCCTTTATTGATCTCTGTTATTCTTCTGTGTTTACACCCAAAATGCTTATGAACTTTGTATTAAAGAAGAATGTTATCTCTTACACAGGGTGCATGACCCAGCTTTATTTTTACAGCTTTTTTGTCATTTCTGAGTGTTATGTGTTGATGGTAATGGCCTATGATCGCTATGTGGCCATCTGCAATCCACTGTTGTATAACACTGTCATGTCCCCTAGAGTGTGTTGCAATCTTACCCTTGGTTCATATCTAATGGCATTTTCTGGTGCCATGGCCCACACTGGATGCATGCTGAGACTGACCTTCTGTGATGCAAACACCATCAACCACTATTTCTGTGACATTCTTCCTGTGATGCAGCTCTCCTGCACCAGCACCTATGTCAATGAATTGGAGGTTTTCATTGTGGTGGGGATCAACATTATTGTGCCCAGTGTCACCATCTTCATCTCTTATGGTTTTATTCTCTCCAATATCCTTCAACTGAGGTCCACTGAGGGCAGGTCAAAAGCCTTCAGCACCTGCAGTTCCCACATAGTTGCTGTTTGTCTTTTCTTTGGATCAGGTGCATTCATGTATCTTAAGCCATCCTCTGCTGGGTCTATGAATGAGGGAAAAATCTCTTCTGTCTTTTACACCAATGTGGTTCCCATGATGAATCCTTTAATCTATAGTCTGAGGAACAAAGATGTTAAAATTGCCCTGAGAAAATCCTTGACCAGAATAAAGTTTTGATAAGTAATTTAAGTTCTATATGTGCTTAATTATAAGACATGAAGTCTATTTTAATAGATGAGGAAATATCTATTCCTAGTTTTTCTCATCATGGTGACAGTTAAAGATTCTCTCCATTTCTTTATAATTTTAATAGTCATTTTCCCCCATCACTTACACATTTTTTCTTTTCATATTTTTCCTATTTAATAGTAAAATTAAGGAAGATTTCATCTCTGACTTATTCTCATTGTCATTATGGACTATTTTTCTTTTAGTAAAAATAAAAAAATTTGCAAATGACAAAATAAATACTAGGATAATTCTGTGCCATTCCAGAGGATGTGTTTCTTTTCTTCTTTGTGTGTTATTCTACTGGAAACAAATGAGACATGTTGGTTGTAGTCTTATCTTCCTATCCTACAGTGGGCAGGAAACGTCTCCTTCAAATGTCAGTGTTTCACACATAAAAGTTCACAGGACTTGAAGGTGCAAACTCTATGCATTAACTTTCTTTTTGTCAAAATATTCATATATACTTTGTACAACAAACTAGCTTGTAGAGGATAGCCAATATGTATTTATTGCATGGAAAATATACTAAAGCTTAGTAAGTTTAACAATTTAAAGACTCACCACTGTTTAATGAAAAGGCATAGAACAAGCCAATAGTTAATTATTTTAATTCTCCTGCTATTTTGATGTGCTTTCCCCTTTTTATCATTTGTATTTAGTTAAACATGACAAATATTTATGTCTTTAAAGTTGTCTATGCCTAAATGTTACATAAACATATGGAGGTGTTTTGTTATTGTTCTAAAAAACAATTTTAAGTTTCCATTTGCTGTGAAAGAAGAGGACTGTTGAGATATAGAGTTGGGAAATAATGGGCTCAAGAAGGGAGCTCAGTGTTGTATAAAACCTAAAAACAGAATCTCAAATGTTTTCAGGTACATTAAATTTAGAGAAGGAGTATGAGAAAAGATCCCAGCAACAGTCCAGGACCCCAAAAGACCCACAGCTTTTAAATAGGAGGTTGCTCTAAGGAAGGCGACTGGGGGTATAAAAGCTGCATTTCAGTGTGAATTTGTATTAGTTCCTTGTAGTACTGCAATATGCTTTTCTAGGATGAAGCCTTGATTACTCTTATACCACAAAGACTATACATTAATAGTTTTGGAGGAATTGGTATAAAAAAGACAGACACTTCTGTGAGAAAAGGGGAAGAGGAAGAATATCCAGCTCAGGAGAAATATTATGAGTTGTAATCAAAATGCAAGATAAGAATATAGAAAGTAAAAAGATGGAAAATTAAAGCCCCTCCATTAGTTTCTCAAATTTTTCTCCAAATTGGAGGACATTACAAATATAGGAGTGACAGATTTGTCTGTGTAGGATGAGTCTGTTGTTATTTGCAGTTAAAAAAATGTTAAATGGAATCAAAGTCTTTTTAAATAGGGCAGAGCGGAGAGGGTGAACGGAGGACAAGGAAAAGGGGAAAAAATGAGAACCAAGACCTGTCAAGTAAATGTACAAAATCCCAATGATGAATGTAACTGTACTGTATACCTAAAATGAAAAATAAACTCAATAAAAAGTGTTAAATCCAGACGGTCCTGGGAAGAATTAAATAATTCCAGTTTTGCAAGCTTTCACATGTTATTTCCAGATTGACTTTTAGATGTTAAAATATCATATTGCAGTTAGGAGAGCAATAATAATTTGAAAGAAATATTTGCTAAATAAACCAAATGATGACAACTTCATTTCTAAAATACAATGTATCATTTTTCCTTTGACAAAACAGGCAAAAAGATGATGAGTTTTAAAATCCTTAATCCTTAATTCTTTTTTTTTTTTTTTTTTTTTTTTTTTTTTTTTTTTTTGTGTTGTGTTTTTTTTTTTTTTTTTTTTTTTTTTTTTTTTTTTTTTTTTGGTGTTGGGGATTGAACTCGGGTCCTTGCCCTTGCAAGGCAGGCCACTGAACCTCTGAGCTAAATCCCCAGCATTAATCCTTAATTCTTAACCAAAAGACAATTTAAATATTTTCTAAAATAATTGTAATGTTACTATTTTACCATTTTTCTAATCTTCACTTAATATTATGTATTGTAAAATTTATCATAAGTACTTTATTGTCTTGTTCATTTATTTTTGAATGTTGAATAGTTTTGAATCATTGACTTACTGTGTGAATTGATCACTCATAATCTGTCCCCTAATCCAGTATCAATTTGCTTGATTTTCAATTACAAAAGTTCTATTTATTTGAAAGAGTTAAAGAGTTAATCTTGCAGTTTACTGTTCTTTTTTTTGAGGCGGGGGTACCCTGGATTGATTTCTGGTCCTTGCGCTTGCAAGGCAGGCCACTGAACTGCTGAGCTAAATCCCTGGCTTGTTTTTTTCTTTAACATACTGTTTCTTTTTAATAAATCATTTCCTCTTATTGAATGAGGCACACTTCTAAATAAGCTAATAAAATTTCCATTATTCATGATGCTTTGTGGACTTTTTAGGGATTTATTCACTCTGTCATCTATTTTATCACTAACCGGAGTAGTCCAAAGAGTACATTAAACTGGATCACTTGAGTTTCATTACACAAGCCTCAAAACACAAAGAAAATGCTTCCATTTCAGAGAAGATAAATTTTCATACATTCTGTAAGACTTTTAGTGAAAAAAGCTAATGTTCAGAAAGACATAAAGACATTGTAAAAGTTAAGGGTGGCAAAGTTAAGAGATAATTTTGTCAATAGCTTTTGCTTAGCACTTTTAAGTATGCTGTTTTAAGGCTTTATTCAAAGGAAATTAAAAAAGCATAAAAGAGAGTGAAATGATATCAATTTTTCACATCTGAGATTTTAAAAGTAAGCCATGGGATTCATCTGAGTTTGCAAACTCCAAAAGGGATATTTCTAAATTAATGTTGAAATTTGAACTTTCTGAGTGATAGCTGAAAAAATTTTCCAGAAGAAAAATTTGCTCATTGCATTTATAATTAGCTTAATGTAAACTTTCTCTAAGCAAACTGTGATTGTTGGTCAGGATTAATTTGGAATGAAACAAAATCAGAGTGCACTCTAGTTAAAGCCTGATGCAAGCCAGAAGTAAAAGGGCTTGATTTCTATATCCCTATACTTCCTTAACTTCCAATTTTCACTAGTCTCCACACTGCTACCCTATAGAATTGCAACCTACCTGTGGAAAAATTCCAAAATTGTCTTATCTAACCGGTAGTACTCCTAAAAATTGATTGTGAGAGCTGATGAGGAATTTTTCTATAAATCTAACAGCTGGCAAATTTTTGGTTAGTTCAGCTGAATATCAGATGAAGTAGTTTGTTTCTGGGACCATGTTGTGGTGAATTTTTATCTTTCTGATTTAAAATTTCAATGTGAGGAAGTTCTACTTCTGAGTCAGAATTCTTTCTTCTTAGGGTTTGGGTGGTTCGTGGAATCACTTGAACTGTTCAAGCTCTCTCTCGGGCATGAAGCTGAAGACCTATTTTGGACATCAAGCTACAGGATGGTACACTTGGTTAGAGGATGCTTGGTCAGAGAAGGAGCACCTTCTGCAGTGTCCATCTGTCCAGCTCTGCACTCCTCTAGCAAGAAATGAAATTTAGCAGAGGAGGAATCCCAGAGCTTGTCTCATAGATGATGGGCCAATGCTAACAAAAGGTTATGGACCATAGCAAATATAATTTATAAAGAGTTGAGTATGTGCATAGATATTTTGATTCTAAATCATCCTTTTTAAAAATAATAAAAAGTTTGCATATTATTTAAAATTAGCAGAACATGAACATTGATTTTTATGAAGAAACAGTGCCTAAAAACCTAAGAGCAAAATACTCACATAAGAAAAATGTCCAGGAAGTATCCTTCATATTTCATATTTTATAACTCTCTCACCTAATTCAGAATGTGTGAATATATTCTTTGTTTTCTTTTTACTGAGTTTATTGGTATATTTTAGGTATACAGTACAGATACATTCATCATTGGGATCTTGTACCTTTACAAGACAGGTCTTGGTTCTCATTTTATCCCCTTGTCCCTGCCCTCCCTTCACCACCCCCCATTTACTAGCACTTTATTTCCACCTTTTCATTTTCTCATATTTTTTTCTTTTCCCCTACCCTTCCTGCTTTCCCTACACCTTTAGCCTGTTTCTTCCTATTTCACATTGTTAATTATCTCATTACGATCTTGGGTACTATTATAGTTTTTCACACCAGAGAAACTATTTGGTATTTACACATGTGTGACTTATTTATTTCACTTAGGAGTATATCCTCAAAATGTATCAATTTTCCTATGAATTAATCTAATTTCTCTTTCTTTATGGCTGAGTAGTATTCCATTTCATAGAAAAACCATATCTTCATCAGAATGTGTGAATATATGCTTAAGTGTTAATGGCCTAGACAATAAATGGCAATGGATAAGAATGGCTTAAATCATCATTCTTGTTTTCAGTCCCAGAGTCAGCAGTAAATCCTTACATTCAACATCTTATTTAAACTCACATCAGCCATGTTTGGGAGGCACCCATACGAGCAGCCCATTGAGGCTGAGATTGTTGCTGATCGACCCCTCTTCCAGAGCACCCTCTCCCCAGGCTTTCTCCATGCTGTGGCATGTGATAGTTCTGGAAATGAAGGATACCACATCAGGCCTGTCATGTCCCCTTTCTGCATCATCTTTGTCTTTTGGTAGGCTGGATGCATGTGACAGTGAGGTCCTATTTAGGTGCTGAAACTATGAGGAAAAGTCAGAATCAGGATGGAGAAGGAAGAATGGATGGAGCCGCTAATGATGGGACCTATGGAGGCCTCTGGCAATATTCTATTTCTAGATCTGCACAGTGGTTTTAATGTCCATTTTAAAATAGGTAGAAGTCTAAGTCATTTATACAACCTTTACATTTGTATTTATGGTAAATTTCCCAATATTATCAGGTTACAAAGCTTTGATGATTAAAGCTAGGCTTTAAATAAGCAATACACTAATCCAT